AGGATGCTTTGTGGCAAGTTTGGTTGAAATTGGCCCAGTGGTTCTTGAGAAGTCGAAAATGTGAAAAGTTTACAACGACAACGACGACAAACAACGGACAAATTGTGATCAGAAAAGCTCACTTGAGCCTTTGGCTCAGGTGAGCTAAAAGTAGTACCCCCTGTAGCGGTGTCTTATCCTATATGTGCCACAGAAAGATCTAACAGCATTCAACGCAAAGGGCAAACATATTGAAATACAACATAGTGACTTCAAAAAATTTTAATGAAACAGATTTTTCGTTTGATTTAAACAATGCAAATGAATTAATTCTACTAAAAAACCTTAAATGACATTTTAAATCTTTTTAAATGATATTTTCAATGCTATAATCAATGAGCATGCAAAAGTAAAAACTAGAATATAAAGCTTAAAATTTTTGTCGTTTCGGGGTTTTATATACCAACAACAGTTAATAAACAATGCAGCAAGATTATTTAAGGTCAAACGATTATGCACATATATGTGTCCCCAGCGGGGAGTTTTGCATCAAAGCGTACATCAAGTCATTAATGATGTTTCCTGCATTTGTGATAACCTGATACAGTGATAGTACAACCTTTATTTATAGAGTACGACGCAGACATGGATACCTGATAAATACCTTTCGCATATTTTAAGCAATTGATTAATCGTCGAAGACGATAGAAGGTATTTTATTATAATTATTTTGCGACAATTTCAGATAAATTTTAAAGTCTATTAAATATTCATTGTTTTTATTGCCTCAGAGGTGATTGCGCAAACGTAATATATTCTTACTCGTAGTTTTAATTTGGTGGTGATGAAGCAGCATTTCCGGTTGAACACCGTCGCAAAAGCCGGGCATTGCTCTACGAGCGATGAACCCCGGGCTAACACACCCCTACTAATGTTATTGTGATTTAAATTCAAGACACGTGGTTTAGGTTGACCTATTCAAAGGTAGTAGGGTAGAACCGGTTTTATAAATAAAAATGGCAGTAAACATGATATTGCTATAGCCTGTTACTTTGAAAACATGTCCTGTAATAAATGTTTCCAGATCTTTCTGAAAGACTTTCATGATTTTCAAAAGAAAGAGGGTGGCTAAAAGAGGGGTGTTCAAATAACAATATCTTTTCGGTGAAAATTAGAGTTCGCTAGTGACCGATTCGCTGCATCGTAAAAAATGTGTATTATCATCTACACCAGTCTGACAAACCTTTGTTTGCCTTATATGGCTATTGTTATAAATGCGCACAGAGAATCGTTCCACGAGCAAGTGACCAATCGTTGAATAAATAGCAACGTTTACGCCAAATGCATGTTTACATTTTACTTCGAACACGTAGCTCAGGTCAATCTAGGATCATGTCAATGGACTGCAAAATAAAAAAAATGTTCTTACGAACAAAATACAATATAAGAAACCATGAAAGATATTACGGGCTTTAATGTTGTTATCTGAAAAGAAAATGTTTAATAAAATGTAGTATGTGTTTAGTTCAGAAAACCAGCGCTTCAAGGGTAAGGAACACGAGCAGCATTTGTTATGCATTTAAATGAACAAAACTTTGTTTACGTTCGTGATCACGTGTTCGGTCAGGGAATCCACCGGGCAATTGTATTCACCGATAGTACAACAAAGGGATTAATACAGACGCAAATCGCTTTTGCAGTACAGTATGACTTTCAGAGACCTAGACTTCCACCGTTTATATTAGAAATGAATCGTTTGTCATTATGAGCATGAAAATAGAATCTTTTAAAATGCTTTTCATTTATCGTAAGATTTTCCTTTTTTCAAGGGTAAAATTCCTGTAGTATTCGTACTAACCCATAATGCAATACTCATTCAGCTGATTGGTCTGTTAAAAGCATGCTGGTGCCTCATTTGCGAATCTGACGCCAAAAAATATAGTCCCAGTTTCCATGCAAAAAATATTTGTCCAAAAAGAAATGTAAATTCATGACTGCAGAAAACTGAATTATAGAGAATACTTATTTAAGTTTGAATGATTGTAACAGAAATCGTTGGATTGATGTACATTTCTACAGTCATTATCAGCTGATTCTAGGATGGTGAAAACTGAAACGCAACATATCTTTTCTGTTTACCATGGCTCCACGTGCTAGCCACTTCCTAGCCACATTTCCGTGAATATTTTACCCTATCTCGCTAAAGTCTCGCTATAACTCTCGCCAGAGCCACTGCCAGAGCTACTCTGAACTCATTGGGTTTTATAATTTGCAGAATACAGAAAAATAAAAGGTTCCGAACACATTAGTAGGGGTGTAACAACGCGTGTAAAATCAGAATTTCGCACTATATGAATATGGTTACATGTAACTCCACAAATAATGTTAGGAATTTATAAGATCAATTTCATAAAAAGGGAGACATGGAGAAGTTAAATTTTTGGAGGAACAAAGTCACATATTTTTTTCTTGCCAGACAGCTCTCACAAAACTAATTGATACTTGGCTGCATGCAATAAATGAAGGAAATTTTGTCGGCATTACTTATTTGGATTTTAGCAAAGCATTTGCTCTAAGACTTGTTAATCATGATATACTAATCAGAACACTACAATGCATTTTTATGGTAACGATATTTCATGCAATGAAACAACTTATAATCATGACCTCTATCAAATACAACTAAATCATACTACAGAGCTATCATCGCCAAAAATACAAATTGGATTTTAACTGCATTTACACGTTTTTTTTGTTTTTTTTTTTGTTTTTTTGTTTTTTTTTTTTTGAAAAATGAAGTTTTATGGTCTCTGGTTCTTCTCTCCATTTTTTGTACGAATATCATTTGTGTCTTTCATTAAATGTTAAAACATATATAGAGTTTAAAAATCAATGAGGGTTGGGATAGCATTTTTAAAAAAAGTTTTGTTTAAAAATTTTACACTTTATAACAAATGAATCATCTAGACTATTTTCAAGTAATTTTTCAGCACATCAAAACAAATATCGGTCTAACAGTATAAGTACCGGTATTGATCGAGAATTATTCCAGAAGTTTGAAATTATTTTGTGACCATACGCGCGGGGGTATTTTACGTAGTTCTTAGTTTACCGCTTAAGTACTGCAAATTTCCTCCTCGCGTAAATAACCACTTTTACAGTATATGATTACATGTAACTCCAGAAATAATGCTATAGGAATTTACGAGATCAAATTCATAAACAGGAAGACATGGGGGAAGAAAGTCACATTTTTAATAAATTATGCAAAATTTACATATTATAAGGAAATAATTGAAAATAGTTCTACTTCAAGGGTAATGCGGGGTCACTTAAACCGCTGTCCTACAAATCAGGCAAAAACTCGTCTCCCTCCAATATAATATTATAACAGTTTACATCTCGATAATTTACAGGATATTACATTTCCCTTTAATGAGCATTTTGCCCAAATTCAAAAAAAAATTACATAATCTTTTGTTTACTACTTTTGAATCAGACAAATTGAAAAGATAAACTGTGACGAAACTTTGTCGGCATTACTTATTTGGATTTTAGCATTTGATCTTGTTAATCATGATATACTAATCAGAACACTCCAATGCTATCACTTCGATCCAATATCAATTAAATGGTTTCAATCATACTTATATGATCGACGCAAAGTGTACAAATTGGTGCGTACACATCTGAATCACTGCAAGTCTCACCAGGTGTGCCACAGGGCTCTATATTAGGCCCTTTGTTGTTTCTGTTGTATATTGATGATTTACCATTGTCTGTTAAACATCGTATTATTGATATGTTTGATGATGACACTGATATGCATTTTCATGGTAACGATATTTCATGTATAGAAACAACTCTTATATAATCATGACCTAATTATAAAGTGGTGTCAACAAATTCAGATGATTATACATACTGATAAAACAAAGTTTTTGTTAATAGCAACATTTTATTATTTAAGACGGCTAATCACATCTCAATAATCAAACTATAACATAGTAATCTTCACAAAAATAATAAACACATAATAGATAATAAGGGTATACCTAAATGCAATTGCAAGTACAGGTGTATTTTAAGGTATCCAATCCATAAAAGGACATAATTTTCTAACCTTAAATATCCATCCTATATTAAATACTCTAAAACAAAGCTGTTTAGATTAGAAAAGGATTTACCAGGATAATTTTTTCCAAAATTTAATTACCCGAGCGGTAATTAATTTATAAAGTAATTAAGAATGCATTTAGGTCTATGGGGAAAAAGCAAATTTTTTTTAAAATAAAAATTTAAACATTAAAAAAATTGTAATGGTGGAAAGATGCATATAATTGTTCAGAATAGAAAAACGATTAAAAAATATTTTTTCTTCGGATAATTTTTTTAAAATTAAATTTTATTGATTAAAAGTAAAGGGGGATAACTCTTCAAGGACGCCTCAAGGTAAAAAAAAAATAGTCTAGGACTAATTCCGCTCTTATATATTGAGACTAAAACTTTAAGATTATGTCTCCATATGCTGAATATTTAGCCAATAAATATACATGTATATCTTATGCATTCAAATTCATTGAATCTGAGGATATTACTAGTATGGATCGGATACCTTAAAGTATCGGTTCGTTGGAATTATGGAATTCGCTCTCGGTGCAACAGAACCAGTTTTTATTATCCATTTTAAAATAAGTCAGTACAACAAAATTATAAACTGTGAAACGAATTGATTGTTTGCACGAAAAAAAAATGTCCTCCGAATCTCACTTGGAAACTTCGATATTAGTCCTGCGAGAGAAAACACTTAATTCGTCGGATGAGAATGATATGTTCATGACAAGTAATCAGAATCATGAAACTGGAATGGCTCATGTTTTCAGAACTGTAATGTTCATCTTTTTAACTATCCTAAGAGAAAGGACGACTAGTTATACCAGTATTTATCAATATCATCGCCATTGTTAAGTTAAATTTGTGCCAAGCTGTTTATTTTGACAAGATACAACTAAAGCTTATCGTTAATTATCACATAAATTTTTGTTAGCGCCATAGTTAAGTAACAGTTGTACCGTGCTGTCATATCCCTTTTGACGAGACATATAAAGAGGACTAGTTCCATTATTATCACTTAAATTGATGTCTGCGCCATTATCCAGTAACAGTTGTATAGTGGTATCATGTTCATTTAGACAAGCAATCCACAAAGCGCTTGCTCCACTTTTGTCACACAAACTGATATTTGCGCCGTTTTTAAGCAACAGTTGTACCGTGCTAATATGTCCATAATAGCAAGCAACGTGGAGAGGATTGACTCCATAATTATTACATAAATTTATGTCGGCACCATTGCTCAGTAACAGTTGTACTCTGTCATCATGTCCACCTTGACAAGCCATATAAAGAGGACTGACTCCATCATTATCACTTAAATTAAGGTTGGCACCGTTGTTCACTAGCTGTTGTACCAGGCTATCATGTCCATTATAACAAGCTAAATAAAGGGGACTGGGTCCATTATCACAACGTAAATTGATATCGGCACCTTTATTTAGTAATAATTGTACCATGCTATCATGCTCATTGTAACAAGCCAAATAAAAGGGACTTGCTCCATACTTGTTACATACATTGATGTCGGCCCCGCCTTTCAGTAACAGTTGTACCGTGCTATCATGTTTATTCTGACAAGCTACATACAGAGGACTGGTTCCATTCTTGTTACATAAATTAATTTCGGCATCGTTGTTCAGTAACAATTGAACAATGCTATCATATCCATTGTGAGAAGCTGCATGTAGGGGACTGCAGCCATCACAATCACATAAATTGATGTCAGCACCGTTGTTCAGTAACAGTTGTACCGTGTTAACATGCTCTTTGTAACAAGCTATAAAAAGAGGACTGGTTCCATCATTATCACATAAATTGATGTAAGCACCATTCTTTAGTAACAGTTGTACCGTGTTAACATGCTCTTTGTAACAAGCTATAAAAAGAGGACTGGTTCCATCATTATCACATAAATTGATGTAAGCACCATTGTTCAGTAAAAGTATTACAGTGCTGTCATGTCCATTTTGACAAGCTATATTGAGAGGGCTTATTCCATCTTTGTTACATAAATTAATGTCGGCCCCGCCTTTCAGTAACAGTTGTACTGTGCTAGCATGTCCAATTTGACAAGCAATATTAAGAGAGCTTACTCTATTCTTGTTACATAAATTGATGTCGGCCCCGCCTTTCAGTAACAATTGAACAATGCTATCATATCCTTTTTTACAAGCTATATAAAGAGGACTGACTCCATTATTGTTACATAAATTGATGTCGGCCCCGCCTTTCAGTAAGAACTGAACAATGCTATCATATCCTTTTTTACAAGCTTTATAAAGAGGACTGGCTCCATTCTTCTCACATAAATTGATGTCTGCACCGTTGTTCAGTAACAGTTGTACCGTGCTATCATGTCCATTTTGACAAGCTATATAAAGAGGACTGACTCCATTATTGTTACATAAATTGATGTCGGCACCGTTGCTCAGTAACAGTTGTGCCGTACTAGCATGTCCATTTTGACAAGCTTTATAAAGAGGACTGAATCCATTCTTGTTACTTAAATTGATGTCGGATCCTTTGTTCAGTAACAGTTGTACGGTGCTATCATTCCCAAATTCACAAGCTCCAAGAAGAGGGCTTGATCCATTCTTATTACACAGATTGATGTCGGCACCGTTGTTTAATAGGCAAAGAATGGTTTTATTACGTCTTTCTCCCTCTTTTGTATGAAGTCCAGTCTCTCTCAAATGTTCGTCGTCATTTGCAGCAGCTAACATTAATGGAGTCCAGTTCCCATAAGTTGTAAACTTGTTGACATTGGCAGCAAACTTTACTAATTCTTGAATTATTGAAAAATTATGGAATACAGAAGCAATGTGAATTGGTAAATAACTACCCCACATTTCCATTATTGATGCTTTTTTATATTCCTCGCTGAGATAATCTATTAGGTTTAAATCGCTATTTGCACACAATGCAGAAAATATAGGATATTCTTTCAACTTCGTTTCAGAGATACCTTTCAAGAAAAATGAAGAAATCTCATTATGACAAAAAATAATGAATCCGACCAAGGGGCATATTTCATCTTTCCAATCAAGGAAACGAATTTTTGACAAACCAGCGCCTTCAAATGCGTTTGGAAATTCCGATCTGTCTATTTTCCATTTTATTCTGACAAGTAGTTTTTCAAGTGAATCAACTTTTTCTTTAAAGGTTTTTATGACACTCTCTTTCCTTAAACATGGATTGAGTAGAACATCTATAAGTCGTTCTGTTTGCATGTCAATGATAAACCTGTCCACAAGATCACCAATGTACTCTTCAGGCAGGTAAACAGTGAAGGGATCGCGATCTTCTTCTTCTGTATCGTCCTCTATCCTCACTCCGCGTCGTAGAAAACCACTATCAGCGTACTGCATTGTCCCTTGTGGACAATCAATACCAAATACTAGAGTCGTTATCTCCATAACAAAGTCATGAAGGAATTGGAAGCCATGTCCGACACGTTTAACATAAGATCCTTTCAATTCATTTAGAGTGCTGCGAATGACTGAAATATGTGTGTTTTCTTGTAACTCACACATTCCTAAAATTTCTTTATATTTCATCATGGAAATATCGCTTCTTACAATGGTATCTATTTTCAGGTTGTTTTTAAAAGCTACAATCAACATAAGAGAGCAAAATTTCTTTTTGTCTGTTTTCTTCCAAATTTCAATTTCCCGTTTAATAAATTTGTACGGATTTTTAAAGAAATCAACTCCTTTTTCTTTGTAGTTTGCCTCCCTTGAAAAAAGCTTACAAAGCAATGGAAAGTAAGCATCTGTTTTGAGTATTTCAGTTTCAATATTTTGGGTTAATTTCATATTCTGTGAATACTGGTAAAAAATTGCTCTTTTCTCTTCAACCGTGAGCCCATTTTCTTCGTTGTCAATTTCTACTGCAGTAGATTCATCCACTAGGATACCCTTGACTCTCTTGTCATAAAAGACGCATCGTCTACATGAAATCAATAATTTATTTCTCTTCAAGCACATCTCTAGCATTTCCTCAAAACTTTTCCATGAATGATATGAAATTTCATCCAAAGATTCCTTACCTAAAGGATCATTGAAAACGAACAAAAACCGAGTTTCTGAGACTCCATTTGAACAGATCGTTTTTATTTCTTCCACCTTATTCACCGGTATGACATTCCATCCACGCTCTTTATACTTGAGAGCAATATGTTGAATTATTGCAGATTTTCCGGAACCAGAATTACCAACCAGCGCGATTAGGTTCTGACTTTTAAGCTTTTCCTCAACCACTTCACTTGCTCTTGTAGGAATGAAGGCAATGTCTTCTTCTTGCCAATTCTGCAGAATGTCTTTTACCAGTGTATTTTCTGTAACAAATATGTCATTTCAAATAAAGTGTAAAAATGTGAAATGTTATTATCAAAATTATATTTTTCGTTAAAGCTTTAAATCTTTTAAAATTAAATGTATTCCATTTACTTCTTTTCATTTCAGTTTTGAAACATATTGTTGCAATCTTAATTTAAATACAATTATCAAATTTATGTTAACTTGTAATACAAACTTCCGCCATATATCGTACATAGTATTTATCTGAATAACAGTAGGCATAATATTAACCTTTGTTTTCCGATTTTAATTTCGACTCTAACAAATCCTGCTCCAAGAAAGACATCTTTTCCATTAAACATTGGTTATTCTTATAATCTTCTCTAAGTTTTTCTATGACTGTTGTTTCGTTTTCCTCTTCCAAGGTCTGTCTTTGAATGTTACTAAGACCAGAAATGTAGTCTTTCTTTGTGCACGTTTGCAATCTTTGGCAGATATCTGTTATGACTGACCACGTGTTATCAAAATCTGTCTTTGAGGTAGAAGCCGAGCTTATGTGTCCAAACATGCTGTTTCGTAACAATCTGATTCTCTCAACGTCATCACCGGTCGTTATTTGTCCGATTGCCGGCATCGTGTTTCCACCCCAACCTTTTGTTGGACGAGGAATCTTTGTACATACGTTTCGTATCAGAGTATATAACAATGTAATATCAAATTGTTTATAACCATCTGTTTTGGCACCTATAAGACGAAGTTCTTGCTCGGGGCGTATGTTTTTATAAACCGATGACGATTTCACTTTGTTATAGACAAGCCCCGGAGGTACCTCCATTTCTAAGACATCTCTACAGGCCTGGGTTAATTCTTCGTTTATTGCCATTCCCAGTTTGGCAAACCTGGAACGGTCACCAGCGTCTGGTCCAGAAGACATTCTTTGGGGTGTTTTTTTACAGATTAAAAACACTCTGAAAGGAAAATTCAATATTCAATCGATGTTACTGTAATTAATGTCTAACATACACTGTACTAACTAATATTATTAAGTGATATTTTTTCAAAGCATTTATTTATGCATTTATTTATTATAATTAGGATTTACCTCTTGAAATGCTTATATAAATTTATTATTGAAAGTGTTGCTTTCACGAAAAAATTCGGGTCATATGTATAAAATTCAAAACATTTATCAAGGTTTCGTGCGAAAGAGTAGAATAATTACTTTACAGTAATACAAGTAAGCAAAATTGTACTGGTTCTTGAGGGCGTAATTTCATGGGTCCCTCGATATAAAGAAGATTCACATAAAATCGATTGGCAGACAAAATGTTTGTTCATGGATTAATGAGACCAATAAAATATCAAAACACTGCTTTGCAATGCACCATGATACTTCAACAGTATTTGGAATGTATACTAATAATTAGAAAGACTAAAACATATTCGAGTCAACAGCATAAAAACAGTCCAATTATTTTGAAAAGTAATTTCTTTGAATGTATTTTTTAACTAGGGAGAATAGTTAATATGGTTTTAAAAAATGTTTTCTATTTCAGACATTTTTTATGCACCTGGATTGATAGATCCGGGGCGTATATTGTTTTTGTCCTGTCTGTCTGTCTGTTTGTTTGTTTTATTGTTTGTCTGCAAACTTTAACATTCGCCATAACTTTTGAAACATGAAGGATAGAGACTTCATATTTAGTATGCATACTCCACTAATTAAGCTCTTTCAAATGACACCAAGGTCAATGGCCTTGTGACTTTGACTGTGTCCTATATGCTAAAAATAACTTTTATCTGCAAACTTTAACCTTCGCCATAACTTTTAAACCATGAAAGATAGAGACTTACTATTTAATATGCATACTCCACTAATTAAGCTCTGTCATATGACACCAAGGTCAATGACCTTGTTACCTTGACTGTGACCTGTATGCTAAAAATAGTTTTTTCGTACTTTTGCCATAACTTTCGAACCATAGAAGATAGAGACAGCATAGTTAGTATGCAAACTCTTCTAATTAATCTCTTTCAAATGACACCAAGGTCAATGACCTTGTGACCTTGACTGTGAATTTCATGCTAAAAATAGTTTTATCGTACCTTTGAAATAACTTTCAAACCACAAAAGATAGAGACTTCATATTTGGTATCCATACCTTTCTAATCAATTTCCTTCAAATGACACCAAGGTCAATAACCTTGACTGTGACATATATGATAAAAATAGTTTTTTTTTTAGAATTTTGCTGCCGCTGGGCGCATAGTGTTTCCTAAATATATCTTGTTCTTTCATTTTATAATAAAATACAGTTAATACTTTGGGTTATCATTTTGGTTGATAATGTCTTGATACTAATAAAGGGGGTGTTATGTTATCAAAATATGCTCATTAAAATAGCAGTTTTACAAAAAAATACAATCTGGGGTGATAAGAGTTAATATATTTACAAGACACGGTGGATTTGGTTTGCTGTTAAGGGATGCTAACTTTTTGATAACAGCATTCTCACTTACTGTATATATTGTACATGTAATCAAACAGATCTGTGTTTGTTTTGCTTTGGTTCATATGACATTCAAGCAATTAATATTGATAGTACTGCACTGCTTGAGGCTGCCACAAATACACTCTAGTCCGCCTTTTTAATTTCATTTTCATCATGGAAAATTCTGGGTCCGCTCCCCTTAGTCGGTGTAATTACAGTAAAGTATTTTTATTTAGTTCGAATTAAGAGTATATGTTTAAAAAATTAGGTAATAATATTTTCAATCTACTATTAAAATATAATTTTATGTAATTGACAAAATTATTTGTTCATGGGGATATTTAATCGTGGATAAGGCTAAAATATACCCGGCCAATGGTTTCAAACGAACAATGAAGACTAGACATTATATGGGGTTTGTACAGTAATTACTAGGGTTACTAAAGCATATCGAACGACAAGAATACTTATTTTTAGGTAATTCAAAAGAATAAAATAAAAATTGACTTGCACGTTTTGAGTGATGCAATAAATAACACTTCTCACTTTTAATTAATACTCCTTTATTTAATAACATCTTAAATGAACCTTATTGAGACACTGCTTTAAAATGACGGTACGTTCTTGATTTTTTTCACCGGTTTAAAGGTGTGCCACGTATATATAAATCCATGATTTTCTTTATAAATTATTGAAATACTTACAGTTTCTAGGAATGTAGTTCCATCAGGAAAATATCCAGATCATAGTTTTAAAGATTTAGAACGTTTTGTCCACATTGATAATCAGTGTTACATGATCTATTTCGATCATATGACTATCAAATATCAAGGTTTAATGTCGGCGATATTTTAATCCATAAGCAAGTAGAGACTAGCCCAAATTTAAAATCCACGTTGCAGTGGACATTTTCGGTTGGGTGAACATAATTTACAAAGATAGCGACTACGGATCTTCAGTATGGAGCGCATTATGCGCACAAATATTAGAAGTAAAGTATATCAAGTATTTTAAAATGTTTCTTACACCATGAATGGGATGTCGTCAAACATCGCTATGGGTTTTCAACATGAACTACATACCATACAACCTTGCCTTCATAAAAAAAATAAAATTACGATGGGTTAATAAAATAAAATTGGTCCATGAATTCCAGACCCTTGAGAACTATTCCAGTTTTAGGGCACAACCAAGCATTTTCCGTGACCATAATTAAGAAAATTAACTCAGGTAGGTAGCATCTTTTAGTTTTTAAGTTTGGGAGGGGGGTTGAACAGTCAGAAAAAAATCGACTAGCTCGAAGAAACTGACAAGTAAAATAGGTTCCAATATCTTTCATTACTAAATTTTATTCCTTAACTGCAATATAACCCTATTTAACTATACTGCAACAAATATTGGGGAAGAGGGGGGGGGGGGAATCGGTCAATGTTCAATGAATATTTTCAACAGTTAATTTTTTTTTTAATATTGGGGGAGCAATTCCCCCAAGTCCCCTGCTGCTACGTGTCTGTACCTTCACAAGCCAAAAAAGGTCATCAGATGTGCTTGTTTGGGGGGGGCAGATACATCGTAAAGTAGCTTTATTTTCTGTAGTTTATTATATATTACATGATTAAATACCTCAAATGCCCCCTCCCCTTTACGTTCATAAAACCATAAATTTAACATCATTAGCAATTCATTCCGAACATCTTGAAAACTTTGTGGAATGCGTTCCCAGTATTTCATTTGTCGGAGTAAAGCTCACTCCAGCTTTCAGCATCAAGCGAGTTTTTTACTTGTAATTTTTAAAACCTCATTTCGAGAATGTAGTCGACTTCAAACTTCTTATTCACAGTTTGATGCCAAGATTTATAACTATATGTATTCAGGTTATTTTGAGCCGATCTCCAAATTTCTCTTTCGAACTAGACCGAGCCAATGTTGATAACCTAATTGCAAGATTATATATAGTATTTTCAAGAGGTCAGAAATACTGTGGTTCATATACAAAGAATATGTTTTATCATCTAGTAGTTTTACGGTTTTGGCATTAGGTATTTTGTGCGGATGTAACATGATACTATATGGAATACTTTTTTTTGTTTTTAACTTTTTTTGTTGAAAAATGTCGAAGTATCTAATAACCATTTTGATCTAATATATTACATGTTTATCATGTTTGTATTAGTTATTTCGTTTTGACACAACATGGTTTCCACACGTCTTTATCCATAGTCGCTAACAGCTGTAGAAGTTCACCCAACCGAAAATGTCCAGTAGACGATAACATTTTTACCTGTGTTTAAGGGACCAGGCAAAATTTATCCTAATGATGATACAAACGGGCATATGGGACAATGAGTTTAACCATGGTACCAAGACATTTTCAGTATTAAGTACCCATGGGACACAAACCTTTTTCAATGACTAACATTACTTAACCCAAGAGAAGTATTCATTTTATTTTTTTAAATTTCGGGGGGAAAAAATCAAATCTTTAAAACTGAAGTGAAGATACAAATGGCAACATAAATCTTTTAATGGAAAATATTACAACAGATGAAAATGAACAAACAAAAAACATTGTTTTCGATGTTTGAAATATCTGTAGTCTGAGAGACTCTTTTAATTAGTTTTTTTTAAAATTGTTCCACATTATCTCACTAACACCAAGATGTAACCATGGAACAATTAACTTTTTTTATACAGAAAATCCCAAAGCATGGGACTGATTTTTTTTAAAATACCAAAGCCATGGGACACGTACTTTTTCAAAATGAGGATTTTGCTTTGTACTGGTCAAATCATTGTGCACATGATAAATTTTGCCTGGTCCCTAAGAGCAGTGCCTTTTAAATCTTCAGCAATATATTTACATTTATAGAGCAGTGCCTTAAAAATCTTAAGCAATATATTTACTCGTATGTATTTACAATGATCATATTCTATTCTGAGGTTTCTTTTTTTACTTCGATAATTTCATCAACTGACAAAAATACTGACAATTTTGATTTAATTTAAAAATGGTATAAGTAGACTTTTTGGGATAGGGAAAATGGTATTTGGATGTTTGAAAATCTTTGAGCATGTAGCAATCGAGAATTTTCTGAATGTTGAGTTAGACAATCCATATGTAGTATTTTTGATAGATTTCTTCTGAAAGGCAATTTAATATATTCTGAAAGTGACACGACATGTACTTAGAAATCTAGCTGCAGATCTGTTGCGTTATGGTTTATATATACATGTATTTGTCTCTGACCATAATGCTATGTGTACAGATCCCGTAATGCAAAAATATTAAAATATTTTTGCGCACTTTTGGGGAGAATTTCTCCACTTTCCAGCATCGGTCAATTAACTTCCTTTCACTCCCTAATTCTAGACACATTCTGTTGCCCATGAGTGTATTTTATCCACCTCCCTACCATTTATAGTTGTCTCTACAGGCAATAAACTCACTTAAAGTGAATTTTCAGCAATCTAACAAATAATTTTTATCAAGCGAGATTATCACTTATAAAGACGACTATAAAGGGTTGGGAGATGGATGAAATATACAGACTAGTTATAAATAATGTGCCAAGAATTAAGGAGTGAAGGGTAGTTAAGTAAATCTAGAAATCCATCAATTATGTGATTAAAACAAAAAGAAATTAATGTTATTTTGGTCATGTTGGTGGTTGAAAAATTAATGTTTGATCAAAACTGCCAGCATTCTTATTGGTAAAAAGCTTGAAAAGATGGAAAAATGTGTTGATGTCAGATGATGAAACTGGTGCTTAATCTTATTTTTCTCACCATAGTAAAGGAAGCTAAATCTAGAGTTATTGTAAATGCTGATAATTTTCAGTCAAAGTGTTTGTATATGATTAAAGGCAATGATAGGTTTGTTATTTGTTTGCCTGACCATTATGAATGGGATTAACTTGTTAGTGGAAACACAATACAGAGTTTTATATAATGTATCAGAATTGCCACAATATTTTGGCAATAGTATCTCAATGTAAAGATCAAAGTATTTTGTTGCTCGCTTCGAAATTAAGTTTTTGGTGTAACATTTAGCATTTGTTTAATTTTCAAAATATTGCCTGCATGAATGTGAAAGTTTGACAACTTTGTAATATTTGTACATATATGTCAATAGTTATTGCTTCCTTAGGCAATAGTAATCATGGTAGTTCAATGAAAACTGTTATACATACATGTATTGTGCTTTCTTCAAAGTTAACATGTTTTTAAATTCATATGTCTTTTTCTTCAAAATTATGAACATGGTGAAAGTTTGACAAGTCTTTTTTTTAATGTTATAATTACACTGCCTTTCATGTTTGTAAGTTATTCTTTATTATGCTATCTAACCTCTTATTTGGCATGTATTGTAAACATTCATTATTCATGTTATTGGATTGCCAATTGGCTGTATTGATGTACGAAACAATTGTTTTTCAATTAGGTTAATATATATTATTATGAATATTGTCACAAAATAAATTTGGAAATGAAGATCAGTTTTCTTTTATTTATTCAATAAATCTTGAAATTTTTAAGTTTTAAAATTTGAAAAAAGCTTGTTCTTTGATAATTATATAGATATTAATAGAAATTTGAAATCATCCTTATCCCCCCCTCCCCCAAGTCAAAGTCAAGCACTAATCAAGTTTTATTCATGCATAATTAAAGTACTTATGGCACAAGCACCATGCTTCAGTATTAAAAAGAAAAGGCACAATATTTCAATCATATTCTACTTTATTATAAATGATCTGTAACTGAATTTTTAAAAAAAGTAAACTTTGAAAATTGACAAAGTCATATTTATTTTTTCAAGTATAAAGTGTAAATACTAATATGTAACAGTGAAAAATAATTATCTTACAAAGATATAAAACAAAGTGGGAATATAAAAGCACTTATCACAGCTGATAACAAAATAAAATGTACAAAATGTAAACAAATTTAAATATACATGCAGTAAGATCACAAACAACCCAGCATGATATATTGAACAAAAAATATTTTACATATATTCATGAAAAGGCATAAAGCTATAATATAGCTAGAAGATCATTCAAAATTAATATATAATAAAATTGATGGACATAAAATTATAAAATTTACAAATTAAACATAGATATAATGAATCAGAAATACATATAGGTTAATTTTAAAGTTTCTAAAATAAAAGAATTCATTTCATTTTTACATACTATAATATCTAAATGACTTCACATGCAAACATGTATATATACAGACAAATGTATTTTTTCATTAGTCCTATACAAATTTTTTTTTTTAAACATTATTGATTTTTTTTCCTTCATGGACACACAAACTTTCTTTTCTTTCTATTTTTATCTTTGATCTTTCAAAATTTCAGAGAATATATCATAGATTTAAATAGAACAGTTTTTTTCCAGTCCAAATTTTTAGCTCTGATGTATAATTAAACTTGATTTTTTTAAAGAATTAATGTATCATAGCCAAAAAGTCTGGTTTATGGTTAAAATCTAATTTTGCTGATAATTTTATTATTATTTCTGTGATATATATGATTTAGATTTCCTAAGAAAGGTAAAATATATTGGAAATCAAATTTTTTGGGTGTGTTTTTTGGTTTTCAAGGTATCAAATACTGATTTTTATACCCAAAAATAATTTTGACATATTTTGTGAAACAATTAATTTACACCAATGAAATGGTTAATCACTTTGAGGTAAACAAAAAAATTTTCCTCAAACCTCCAAAATTATACCCAAATTCATGTGATTTTAAATTAATATACTTTACATGTTTAAAATGCTAAATGCTATTTCTCCACGTAAACAGCATCTCTTCTACTGAAATCTTTTTAAAGTTAAAATATATCTTATTGCCATCTGTTGACAATTTTGACATTACTTTCTCTTATTAAATACATGTAAAAAAATTATTTCTACAAAAACAGCTGTTGATCCTGTTGGAATAATAAACAGCAAAGTCCAATGAAATCTTGAATATATCTGTCAATATTATTAACTGCATGAAATTCTTCATATCTTTATCTATGTAGTACAATTACATATCATATCTTTTTCTACAGCAATTTTGTAAATATTTCTTATTTATTTTTAAAATAAATGAAACGTTCATTTGATTTTGTGTATATTGATTGATTAGAAACAAATATGTTTTTCTTGAAAGCCCTTGGTCCGAGTCTCATGTATAAAACCAATTTCTAAGAAATGAAAAGCACCATCTGATTCTAACTTACACGGCTAGCACACTAAACAAATTAAGTACCAGGCAAAGAAAATGAAATGAGAACAAACTTTATAATTTCAATCCAGTGTTTTTTTAAAAAAAGATTTTTCAAATGAAATTTAATTTTCATTATATTTTTTAAAATATTTAAAAAACTTCCAAGTTTTTAAAAGTATGTTCGTTAAATAATAATGAAAATATTACAAATCTAAATTTTGACTTAAGTCTATTCTAAGTTTATGGTTTTGGGGTCAGGTTACGTTTGAAGTTATGAGTTTGTTTGAAGCTGAGACATTCCAAAGTAAAATGTAACTGTGAGGCATATAATTTCATTTCCCATATATGGCATAAAATTGATTGTAAGTGTGAAAAGTCTGTTCAGGAATTTTTCTGACGGATTCAAGAATATACAGTTAGAAAAAATTGACGCCGGTCACTTTTTTTAAAGTAATGCAACTAAAAACTGTTTTCATGCGCAATGCGATAGACATGTATCCATATTCGAAATAATTTTGAACTGGTGTGAAAAAAATTCAAGTAACATAAATACATTTATGAAATAACAGAAATGTTTTGCGTATTTACAATACGCCCTCATTTTAAATCAATGAAAAATCATCGTATTTTAAACATTTTTATAGAACACAGTTAATAGCTTAGTTGATATATTGAGACTCAGATATATAGGTCTACTCCTTCCAAGAATAAAATCGAGTTTTTTATGTGTATGGGTAGACCTATATACTTTAGGCTCATAGGCGTCGGGCACCGGGGGAGAGAGGGGGGGATCCGGACCGTGGCAGCCCCCCTTTTTTTTGCAAAGATAGACATTTTCTATGCATTGAAAATTAGGGTTTCCCTTTTTAGTTGGCTTACCCCCCCCCCCCCACACACACACTTTCAATTCGCCCCCTACTTTCAATTTGCTTTTTATATCTTTTGTCATTTACAGAATTACATGGGGAGCGCCTATGAACATGTTCAAGGACATTTTAATTTACACAATACTCATATTTTTATCAACATTGGCGCAATATTCTCCTTGCGACGATGAAATAAACGTAGGATCACCTGGATGACACCATTTCAAGTTTGAATCGGTTAAAAATTATTTTCTCTTCAAATGTGCAATGCATTTTTTTTTATCCCCGTTCGTAATGACTCGCCGAGCGGCGCCAACATGAAAATTTTATCGATCCTATAAGATTATATTCCTGACTACATATTACACCACAAGGACTCGTGAATTTAAAGTGGTAAGGCACTAAATAAAATAATAGAACATTGAAAATATTTATTTCATAAATATATATTTTAAAAACATAAATTGAGCAACAAGAAATGACAATAGAATTGGAAAATTCTAACAAACTACTATTTGTATAAAGAATTTGATTAATATTGGGTAAAATGGAATGGCAAGTGAATAAAAATATATAAAATAGTCTTTGGTTTATAATGTAAATTACTAAAGGTCAGGAAGCTTGTTCAAAGGTCATCTCCACGGAGAAATCGTCAGTAAAAATCTTGTGTGTTTTCTTTTTATGTGGATTGTCAAGTTCATCTCGAGGAATCCGCAACCTGTTAAACAAAGAACAGGATTATTAAACTTTTTTGAATTGAATATGACGATAGTCAAATGATAAAACTTCAGTGGCATGGATACCTCTTGTTTTGTGTTTGTTGTTGAAACCTGTACCAGAAAAGCCTGTTTACCTTAAATTTTCGACGAAGTAAGTATGAAACCAGAAATAAAATGCACAGTTGTCATATCCCTTGGGTATTTTATTCTGAAACCAAAGAAAAAAAATTATGGAGCACCGAAGTATATATTCTACTTTGTTTAAAGAATTAATAAAGCACTGAAGTATATATTTTACTTTGTTTGTGAATTACTCATAAAATCCTGTGAATTATTATCAAATTCAGTTGTTTACTAAACAGAATCGAAGTTTCATCTGGGTTTAAATGACCTAAGATTAAATGTGTCAAATACCTATCTCTCTAAGAAATCCTTCATTCTCTAAATTTTTCACTTACCGAGCTAAATTTAACCTTTACGTCTTCATGTAAAATGATTTCCTCCATTGGGGAAATTTCAATCGCATCTTCCTCAGTCAAAATCTCCAACTTTACAATAAAATGAAATATTTACTGAACAGAATTCTGGCTGCGGTCCTGTTGAAGGTTAAATACCCCAGGGCCACGGCACACGCACTTCTGACCTGGTCATTGGGGGAGGAGAGTTTATCGACCAGGATATCAATAGCCCCCGAGGTCACCATGGCATCGGGAATTCCTGCGCGTGTGTGGGCGAGACTGGAGAGAAGACTAGCAGCCAGAACAATGACGTTGTCCTCGTTTGAGTGGAGTTTCTCCACAAGCAGAGTCACCCCGCGGGCCGTTAGGTTCACTTGGTCTTGGTCCACTATTACTCTCGCTAGCACCACAATCTGAAAATCATGATGAATACTTTACAAAATTTAAATTCGATTTATCACCTGGCTCTTATTTGGGCATAAAACTTGGATGAGCTTGGTTTTCACTCCCAATATAGCACTATTTATAATTCCTTTATTGAAAGAGAGTCCGAGATCAAAAATAAGCTCACATCCAAGTTTTATGACCAGGAGCCATGAGGAATTTATGTCTGTAGATAATTTTTTTATTGAGCCAAATGAGGAAAAAAGTCATTAAAATGTGCAGTTTAGTAATTATTTTTAAGTACAAAATCTCTATTACCAAACTCGTTAACTGAATAATTTGGATTATGATTTCTACCTGAAAAGCTGCATAGCAGACATCATACTCTATACTGGAATTAAGGAAAGGCTCAAACACCGAGTATTTGATGCCCCCGGCTTCCCTGATGGCATACTGCTGAGGGGTGTTGTTGAAGGCAAAAATCGTCAGAGCCATTCCTGCCCTTAATCTTATTGCCTATCAAAAAAAAAAAAAGGTTGAATCAGAAATAATACAGGAAAATAACAGAGCTGTATATAGAGAGAGAAACATGATTTATTGGGAACTTAAAAGTTTTGTGATCTAAAAATGCTTGTCAAGAAAGTAAAAATTGCAGTTACAAAAATAATAAACCCATTACATGGAGGTACAACTGAAAGAAAATGACCTTCAGAGTACAAGTTTACCCAAGAATGATTGGTCACTAGTCTATTTTTTTTTTCTCAATGTCTACTTCTCTTACTTAACTTTTCACCTACCTCACTTTTTGACTTTAACAAATCCAGCAGAACATCGAAGTTAAACCCTGGCTCCTCCTGCAGTAATTCCTGGTTACGAGTGTTGCTAAGGACGATACAACCTAGCGCTATGGCAACCTCCACTTGGACTTCTTCAGAAGGAGGCTGGTTTAGATAGGTCACTAGGGTGGGGATCGCCCCCTCTTCTGCTATCTTCCTCTGGGTCACTTTGTTGTTGCAATAAGCCACACCTAGCAAAACAAGTTATCTTTTATAAAATTGATGATAATATGTATTTGTGTTGCTGATATAATTGTAATTTTAGAGGAATTGCACCAAAAACAATGTGGACCTTGGAGTAAAACTGGAATTTTTTAAAGTCAATTCAAAGTAATAACACTTAATGTAAATGACCATGTTATTTAATTATATAGCCAGGCCTCATAATTCTGCATACAATTATTTATTCACAAGCAAATTTTCTAGTTAGATGAAATTTCTCAGTTACAGAAACATGCCTTATCGAGGCTCAATTGTGTTAATACTTCATTCTGAATAGAAATGATACAAGATTTAGGCTTAAATTTCATATTAAAAGACTCTGTGGACTTACCAACACACAGAATTCCAAGCACTTGTATGACCATGAGTATGACCTGCGGGGAGTCTTTATGAGTTCGCAGAAGACGGACCAACTGATTAAAAGCCTCTGTCTGAGCTAGTTTTATCTGGTTCTCTATATTCTCTCTTCCCAAAGCAATGGACATCATACAACCTACAATTGAGGATAAATATATTAGATTTCTTGTCACCTATTTTTGTAGTAAGGGTACATGAACTTTCTAAATTTTAATTTGCCTTAGTTTATTTTCTCACCTTAAGCAAGTTATATACTGCAAAAGCACAAATATTCGTGGGGGATTAAATTTTGTTTACTTCGTTGTTAACAATTATCAATGAAATTAAATCCCTCATGAAATTTTATATGACTATATAGTGAACACTAGGGTTACTTTAAACAACGAAATTAAATGCCCACGAAACTATTCTAGGTTACCGTAACAAATCAAAGAAATTTTATCCCCACGAAAATTTGTGCTTCTACAGTAGTTGTACCTGACTAATTTGCATCCTGCATGCAGATTATGACTTGAAACTGACTGGTGATAGTATCTGACTTTAAATAAAACATATGAGAGTTACACAATGACCTTTGTCCTACTTTACACTGTGTGACATTTGTCCTACTTTACACTGTAATTTATTCCGTGTGACGTATGTTCTACTTGACACTGTGTGACCTTTGCCCTACTTTACACTGTGTGACCTTTGTCCTTTTAACATTGTGTGGCCTTTGTTTTTTTTTTACACTTTGTGACCTTTGCCCTCTGTATGACTTTTGTCCTACTTTACACTGTGTGACCTTTGACCTACTCACCGACTTGAAGCAATTTTTCGGTATCCTCCAGTAACATACTACAGATGTCTGGGATACTGGTTTTCTCTGCGATGTATTTCTGTTGAGTTGTGGTGTTTCCTGCTAAAGCCCATAAAGCCTTGGCACCATGCTCCTTCACTGATACATTGAAATTCTGCAATTTCATAGCAGAATTAGTTTTGACTGACTTTAATTTGTGCAATTTTCATTGGAACCAGGTACAAGCAGGTACCATATTCTCCCATTACTTCACAGACTCATGCCACTGAGTAATTACAATGTGGTTTTTTAATTCCAAAGTGCAATAAAAGGGCATATAGGGTATAAAAGGGTATATATCAATTCATGTATATAAAATCTTTCTACACTAAAATTCTACATTAAAATCATTGCTCAATTCAAGAATATACAGTAAAACTTGTTTAGTCTATATAGGGATATTGCAAATTCATGGATATAGCAAAGCTATCTTTGATCCCAAGCTATATAAATTTAAAGAATTCCTTAATTTAAGGATACATTGTATA